AAGAAACACTGGTCTCGAGTGCCTCCTTGCAGAGGCCTTGCTCCAGTTCTCCTGCCTCCAGGTAACCAAGTCCTGCTCTAACCCCTTGGTATGACTGCCCACCTCCCAGGCCCTGGCAGAGCCACAGGTCTAACTAGCGCTCTTCTCTTTAGACCATGCTCCAGCATGCAGAGCCAAGATCCAATCTTACCTTTTGTAGAGGCTGGGGCTGGCCTGCTTTCTGCAAGTAAGTCATTCCCCAGGAAATGAAACGCAGGCATGAATCGCAGTGCAGCAGCATGTTTATAAATAGATCGCGGGGAGGGGGAGACTGGCAGAAGAGGTGAGCGCCGGTCTGCTTGTGTTTCAAAAGGGGGATAATCGCTCCTTCGGCGTTGAGGTCTGACCCTTAATAGTTTGCCTTTGAGATCGGAGGGTTGTGAGGTCAGCGGTCCTCGTCCCTAGAGCAGGTGAAACGCTCGTTTATCTGGGTGGGGAGCGTGGAACTCCTGCTGCTGCTGGTTCCCAGGCAAAGGGTCTACCTGGTTGTGTTTTTTTAAGGTGAATGGGCTTTGTGGACTAGAAAGAGAAATGCTTATGCCCGAATGGAGCCATATGCTGTTTTAAAAGGGTTTCTAATGAGCCGTTTCTGAACGATTAGCTAGTCCATGATCAGGGAGTGGGGAGATCGGGACGTCTCTTCCGAAGACTAGACCCAGGGCTGGCCTGTGACTCAGACTGTGTGTCTGTGCCAAGAAGCACAGGGGACATGTTGACACTGGTTCCAGGAGCCGTGAGTCTGGGTGTCCTGGAGAGAGGCCCGGCTGACGGCCTTCCTGCTGTAGGGAGTGGAAGGGACTGGGGAGTAGCAGCACTGTGACTCCATAGGTACTGGCTTCCCCTCCAGCTGGAAGGGGGAACTGGCTCCCCCCCTCTGCCTCAGGCCCCACCCTCACACCACCCTTCCCCCTGCCCTGCCCCCCCTTCTCCCAAACCCCGCCTCTTCTTGCCCCGCCCCAACTGTGCCCATCCTGCTCCTCCCCCTCCCTTCCCGAGCTTCTGGAACGTTGCAGATCAGCTGTTGACAGTGCTCTGGAAGTACAGGGGAGGAGCCGGTCAGTGGAGCTTCTGGCCCGTGAGATGTGTGGGAGGGAGCAGGCAAGAGGGGAAAGCTTTGCACCGATTAATTCCCCCTGTGGATGCTCCAGCCCCGGAGCATGCCGGGAGTGGCTCCAGCTCCATCAGATCTCTGACCACTGAGTGAAGGGTGTTGGGATTCCCTGCTGGGACCGGCAAGGAACAAAGGACTGTTTCCTGGAGGAAGGGGGGGCAGCAGTGAGGGATGATTTCTCTGAGAGCCTGTACCTCCCAGGGCTGTTCCGAGTGTGCAGCAGCTAACACCCACCCCTTGCTCAGGCCTGGGCCTCGGATCACAGACTAGTTCCCAGAGGGTAGCAAGGACACAGAGGAGACTGCTTGGCTTTTGCAGTCGGCCCCCTTCTCACCCCTGGCCTTTTCCTCATGATGCACTCATCAGAAGCTAAGCACGGCCAGACAGGGGCAGGCCCCAGGGCCATCCAGCCCAGTGTCTTCTCTGCTGACACCAGCCAATGCCAGGTGCCCTAGAGGGAGCGAACAGAGCAGGGAACCATCATGTGATCTCTCCTCTGTCACCCACCTCCCACCAGAAACAGAGGCTAGGGGCACCATTCCTGCCCACCCTGGCTAATGGCCACTGATGGTCCTACTCTCCATGAATGGATCTAGCTCTTTATTTGAATTCTGTTACAGACCTGGCCTTCCCATGGTCCCCTGCCAAAGAGCTCCACAAGCTTGTGTTGTGTGACGAAATCCCACCCTTGCTTGGATTTAAACCTGCTGCCTGTTCATTTCGGGGGCGACCCTTGTCAGCTAATCCCTCCTTTACTCTCTGCAATGATGCTGCTTGGCCTCTTTGTGTGAGGAACCACTTCCATTGTCCCATTGCTGAGGCAGGACAGAACTTGTCTTAACCTAGGGAGGTTGTGGAATCTCCATCTCTGGAGATCTCCAAGGGCAGGTTGGTTAGACATCTATCAGGGATGGTCTAGATGGTGCTTGGTCCTGATGTGGGGGCAGGGGACTGGGCTCAATGACCTCTTGAGGTCCCTTCCAGTTCTAGTGTTCTGTGATTCTATGACTATCCAAGCTCAATGTCTTCTCCAGCTCTTTGTGTTTATACACTGTGATCAGGCCCCCATCTCTGTCCTAGACCATGTGGTTACCCATGTGGTTACACAATGGCGTTCACTGTTGCACTCACAGCCTCACTATGTCCGCCATGTGGGGAGGGTTCAGTCGTGTGGTCTCATTGCCAGTAGGAATAAAGGTGCTACAGAACTGATCCAAAGCCCACTGCAATGAATGGGAATCTTTCTCCTGGGGATCAGGTCCCAGAGGGCTCTGGGACATATCACACCGAGTGCTGGAGGTCCTCCCCTAGATGACACCCAATTCACCACTCTTGAACCTAAGGCTCCCGTTCCTAAGTGTTTTATTATGAAAAGGTGAGTACATGGCAGCTTCATTCTTTGATTGCATGTATCGCATGTTACACTGTGCAGTGCATTAGCAATAAATGCTTAATGGAAGACGCTGTATCAAGCTGTTAGATAGAAAGCCTATTATAAAACGTGGCTTTTCTAAAACAATGTATGTGTCTGTTTAATACCCGATGTTAACTTAAAAGGCGAATTAGAAAGAGCGGATCTCTAGAATACGTAAAAATAGATGGAACTTCATATATTTAAGTGTCATCCAATTTCCTTGCTCATTTAAATCAATCATGAGAAAATCTCATATAAAAAGGAGGTGGGTGAAATTTGCATATGGAACAATCAGATGAAAACACCCGGAGTCAGGCATGGTATAGGCAAACACAGGGCGAGCACAGCTCTTCTGGTAGACTGTAACCTCGACATGCTGTATCTCATGATCATAGCATTATAAGACAGGAGGTCATCTAGTCCAGTCCCCTGCCCTCATGGCAGGACCAAGCACCATCTAGAGTGGACCATCCCTGACAGATGTTTGTCTTCTCTGCTCTTAAATGTCCAATGATTCCACAAATTCCCCAGGCCATTTATTCCAGTGCTTAATCCTGCTAACAGGAAGTGTTCCTAATATCCAACCTAAACCTTTCTTGCCACAATCGAAGCCCATTGCTTCTTTTCCTATCCTCACAGGTTAAGGAGAATAATTTTCCTCTCTCCTCCTTGTAACAACATTTTAAAGATTTTATAGATTTATAGAAGTCCTGTCCCATCCCCAGATGTGTAGGTCTTGTACTGCCCCAGTTCTGGACAAGACAAGCTTCTATCAAGTCTGACATTTAATGAGTGGAAGTGATACACGCAAATTCTGTTCTTCCAAGTGGAATTTCCCAAACACTGTCGTTCAAGTGCACAGGTTTACATAAAACACGTGTGTTAACTACAAAGAGATGTTAAGCAAATACAATCAATGAGGCACAAAAGTCTGAAATGATTACCAGAAAATGAAAGCTCAAACACGGTGAGTTCCTAACCTAGCAATCCATGTTACATTCAAAGTACAGTATTTCTCAGGGCATATTCTCAATAGTTTGAGTGGCCAAACTCCTTAGATTAGGACCCCTTCTTCTATGTAGTGGCTGCTTCCTTTCTTCCTTGGGAACTGATGGACAGAGAGAGAGAAGGGATGTAGGGACGTCTCTTTTCTGTTTAGTCTTCTCTGTCCTTTGAGGCGCATTCCCAGCTGGGCTTACATTGTGGATGGGAACTCCATGCTTCTTCATTGCTAAAATGTAGATTTGTCCCCCGCATCCCTGTTGCTGCCAAAGAGCATCCGTTTTAGTTCCCACCTTGTTTCCACTTGGTGGAGTCGCCGGCTCTCCCTTACTTTCTGAGGAACTGGTCTGGTCATGCCCCAGACATGGAAGCGTTTGAGCGATGCCGTACTGTGGAAGCCTGTAACTTGATGTGCATTGTTGCCATACCTGGTGTGGCTGGAGAGTAATGACCAACAAACCATGAACAAAGATTATTAGAACAGTGTGGGAGGGGAGCTTGCAGGGTACAGTCTGCCTCACTGAGTACCAACACACTTCTGTGAAGGTGCCTAAATCTCACTGCTCTTCCAGTCTTGGGTGTGCCTATGGCTCTAGCAAGGCTTTTGGGTCCAGACCTCCCCTCAGAGGCGATGGGTAAGGGGGACACATAGGGTCAAGTGCCCTCCCCCATTGGCCTGCCAGGGACAGGACAAAGAGCTCCGTCCTCCTTTTGCTGTGCTTGGCCCCAGCCCAGGTGGAGCGCAAAGCAGGTGGGACCAGCTGCTTCTCACACCAGCTGCTTTGGGCTGCCAGTCTGTATAGCAGCTGCCTACAAGAGAGACTGGCTGGGGTGGCAGCTCCCCCCTCCAGCTGCTCAGGCACCAGGGACAGGAGCCAAACAAGCCTGTGGCCCATTTCTGGTTTGCTCAGCCCCTTGTCCCTGACAGCTGGGCCCAGGGGGAGGGAACAGGCCTCTGCCACTCCCAAGCTCTTGCCAACGAGCTGCCACCTTGAGCCACCTGAGGAACGGCTCCCTCCTGCTCCCTGCATGGACCCGGTGGGAGAAGCGCAAAGCCGCTCTCCCACAGGTAACGGATGGGGAGAGCGCTGTGGCCCTGGGCTGGGTGGGGCGTCTCTGTGCAGAGGAGGCTCACAGGTCCACAGTGTGAGGAGGCCTGAGTTGTCTGTGCCTCCCCTGTTCCAGGGTCTCAGCGGTTAAATGCACGACGGCCTCGGAGAAGGCTGGGAATCAGCCATTAGAGCATCTGGACCCTTTGTAGAGGATTGCTGAGCGTGGTAGTACTCGAGATTGACTTGAGAATTTGGGGGTGGGTTTGCAGCTGGAAGAGATTCCTCATGTACCGGCGGCCTGCCCCCTGTGTATATGTTAGCTGACTTGCTGCAGATGTCGCTTTGTTTCCATACAGGAAACTAATTGCCTTTCTTGTTCCAGTCAGAGAAGTTTTCCTGCGTCACTCGGCAAATAACGGGAGGCATTTCGTAGAGCTGGCAAAGCACCATCCGCTCTCCCGATAGCCTTTTTGCACACGCTCCCCATCAAAAGGCCCAGCCACTCCTTGGCAGCCTGGCTTCACCTCGACAAGATCTGCCCTGGCTCGTGCATTTGTCGGTGAGGGAACCCGGCAGCAGGGGCATGAGGCGGGGAAAAGGCTGTTATGCCCCAACCATGAGTCTCGCCTCATTTCAAATTCCCACAACTTGCTTCCTGAAGTCAGGGCAGCTGAAAGGTGCTAGACTAACTCCCTGGGTGTGTAACATCTTGTATTTACCCACAAATCAGATACCATGTAGGCCGCAGCATGGGAGGCTCCCTGGATGCTGGCTCTCCTCAGGGGCTCTTCCTTTCAGAGCCTCGTCACCAGGTGCTTGTGACACATGACCACGGCGGGACGCAGGACTTGCCTACGTGGGGCGGTTTGCTGGCGCTACTCCCTGGGCGTAATGCCATTGCTGGAGCCATTCCGGTACGATAACGGTGGTGGAATTACACCGGGAGGAGAGAGCTGGTCAATTGGCCCATATAGCGCCAATCTTAGTCTGCTGCATGAAGCTGACTCGGCTAGAGCCTGGGTTCAAAGTCCCAGTCAGAGGGGCGGGTCGCAGGCTGGACTCCAGCCCAGGCGGGAAAGTCCACGCTGGCCGGTAGCATGAGTCCGAGTCAGTTCACCGGGCTGTGAGGCTGCCCACTGTGGGTTTTTTCTGTGTGTGCTCTCATCCATGCATGACGTGTAGGCCATGCTCCCAGAGCGCAGCAGGAACGTGTTGTTCTTTCTTGCAGACGCCCTGTGACAATCGCTGGCCCTGAGCACTGTGGAACATGTGACACCGCTGGCTACACGGCAGGCCCCCCCAGAGGGAAGTCAGGGTCTTGCGGTATCAAAGGAGACGGCAGCGGTGCCTGTAGTGACCGCAAGGCCCAAGGAGGCTCCTGCAGGGCCCTGGGCCATCTGGGAAGTAGTTCCGAGGAGGAGGAAGCTGCAGGGAAGAGAGACGCCTGGGACGGACCCTGACTAACCAGGGGAAGGCCTGAGAAGAGAGGCAGGAAGTGGCCCAGGGAAGCCTCAGCACAGGTAAAGTACAGTTCAGTACCAGACCCTAGGCTGCCACCCGCAGTAGAAGTTGGACAGGATGCCCCTGGTGGCCCCACGGAGGGAGGGCTGAGCTCAGCAGGGCAGCTGCAGGTGAGGAAGAGCCCCAGAGATGGTGGAAAGGCTTGTTTCTGTGGCAGCCATTTGTGGATTGTAGTTTGGGGCAGTCAGCGTCCCGGAAGCAGGGGAGTTGAGATGGTGACTTGGCCAGAGGGCTGAGCTACCAGGCAGAGATTCCACCCAGCACTGGAGCAGTCGTCAGCAGGGGGCGCTAGCCCGGAGCCACCACACCTAGCACTAGGGGGCATTTAGCGGTGCGTGGACATTTACACACCTCCATCTGAATGACAATCTAGCCCTATAGTAGGCTAGACAGTCTTAAGTAGGATTGTGTCGTCCCCCGCTCCAAGCTGTTGAAGGAACTTCAACCCTCTGCTTGATATCCTAGCGGAAGCTTTGAGGAAGCAGGCCCCTTGCCCCCACACACCTGAGAGCAAATCCATATCTCAGCAGGGCGTTAGTGTGGCGTGCAGGGCTCCCTCCCCGTCTGTATTCACATGGCACACAGCATTCGTGTGTCCTATGGCTGGCAGGCAGAGTTCAGATGTCGGTGGGGACGTAATTTCCTTCTACAGGCTTGGGATGGAGTCCTGGCTCCAGAGAGCAAGGCCTGGACAAGAAACGTACTTTTGATTCTCACGTAGCTACCTGCCTCCAGGAGCTGGGGGCTGAACAAACCCTGCCCCCCCATTTCACCAGACTCCTAAGGAAATCACGGAAGGTGGCCCTGTAATGCTATCCCGAGGCCTTCCTCTTCCGACAGGTCTCCCACTGGTCCCAAGGCATATCGCATGGTGCTGTGGTCTGGCCCCCGAAGCCCTCCCTCTCAGCTGCTTCCTCGTGTCCTTGCATTGGCAGGAAAGATCAATGAGAAACTAAACTGCAGAAGCAAAGAGTATGCAGCAAGCGTAAAACTGTATCCAGGCTCAGTACAGCGGGGCCTTCAGGTCCCGTCCTGAGAGACCTGGGAGAATGCGCATGCAAGAGGCGCTGAAGGGCTTGCTGGAGGTATCGGTTCTAACCTCCAGTGAGACTCTGAAGACAGTTGAGAAGCTGAAGGGAAAAAGTGGCCCCCAGAACAAAAGGCCGTTTTGGCAGTGCATATAAATGAGTTTTCTCTTAACCAGTCAATCAGCCTCGTCGCCAAGCAACAGCCGCCTTAGTGAATCCAGCCTGGCTACATCTTACGAGAGGATTCAGAGGGCAGGCCAGATCTCCTAAGCCTTCGGGCGTATTTCTTTAAAGGCGGCCACACCAGGAAAGTACAGAGGGAGTTCAACATCCACAGCGTTGACATTCAGGGAGCCCCGTGACTTCACTGGCCGAAGTGAAAGAAAGTTCGTAAGATGATACAATCACTGAGAGTGAGACACATTGCTGGGAACAGGGGCAAAAGAGAAGCAGGTTGGATTAACCGCTAGAGGCTGACTGGCCAGCTCCAGGGTGGTGTTAAAATCAGGCCTGATGAGCAAGACCGTTCTGAGATGTGAAACGTTTTGGGAGAAAAGCTGGCTACTGGAGCAAGCTTCACCATCATGGCTGCCACAGCATCTCCTGTGACACCGGCTCACATCTCTTCAGTCCCAAAAGAGATGGTGACTGGATGTGGCCAAAGAAGATGGGAGATCGATACCACCTCCGCGCCCACTGGTTGCAGCACAAACACACTATCAACTTGAATAAAGGTCTTAAGAACATAAGAAGGGCTAGACTGGGTCAGTGCAAAGGGCCATCCAGCCCAGCGTCCTGTCGGCCGACAGTGGCCAATGCCAGATGCCCCAGAGGGAGTGAACAGAGCAGGGAATCATCCAGTGATCCCTCCCCTGTCACCCATTCCCAGCCACAGACACACACAGGCTAGGGACACCATCCCTGCCCATCCTGGCTAATAAGTATCGATGGACCTAACCTCCATGAATTTATCTAGTTCGTTCTTGAACCCTGTTAAAGTCCTGGTCTTCACAACCTCCTCTGGCAAGGCATTCCACAGGCCAACCATGTGCTGTGTGAAGAAAAACTTCCTTTTGTTTGTTTTAAAGCTGCTACCTGTTAATTTCATTTGGTGACCCCTAGTTCTTAACTGGTAAATGCACTACAAAGGCAATTTCCTCCACCTTTGATATTCCCATGTCCACATCAGATGCTATGTATGGGACACAGCCAGCCTGACTTAATTAGCTTCATTAACACTGGTCTTACCATTGATAGGTAACTACTTTTGCTGTTATATGTATCCTGGATTCTGTAATTTCCACTCCAACTCCTCTGGTGAAGTGGGTTTTACCCACGAAAGCTCATGGTCTAATACATTTGTTAGTCTCTAAGGTGACAGGACTTCTTGTTGTTTTTGAAGTTACAGACTAACACGGCTAAGCCCTCTGAGACTTTTTGCCATCTGGGATGTCTTTCCCTCCCCTAGGTATCCTTTTCCTTCTCCACCTTCCCTTTCCAGTCTTCTTTCCATCTCCTGGGGTCAGCGAGCCAAGACTGTATATTTTGCAACACTGCTACAACCCTGTGGCCAGAGGCAACTAAGCGCATTGCCGCAAATAGACCCAGGTTGGCCCAAGTTGACCGTGTTTCGGTGGGGCTGATAAGACCCCGCGCTATGCCTCTGATTTTTCCCAGCAGAGAGGTTGCAAGAGTCAACACCAGGGACAAAAGATGCATTTTCCATTCTACCGTGCTTTTCTCTCCAATTGTGCGTTCGTTCAACTTGCTTTGTTTTCTAGGAAACAGGATCTGACTTTCACAACAGCACTGACAGCTACAGCCTCTCTGCTAATGGCTTCTCTTTTCCCCAAAAGGACAAATATTACCCTCTTTGATACCATCTAAGAGACTGTCAAACAGGGTTTGTTTTTTTTCCCCTTTCTAAAAGTTTTCTCCAGTTAAAAGGACAGGAGAAAAGGCAGGTAGTTAAAATAAAAGCCTGGCTTTACGCTTTACATTTCAAATGGTTTAACTGTTTCCCCTTCTTTTCCACATTGTTAATAAAAGTTAAAAAGGATTTGGAAGGGGGGGTTGCGATGGTATGAAGCAAGGTGATGTGTCTGGGACCCAAACCCTGGACCTTTTAAAACATATTTCATGTTGGACAGTGACTGGGTTATGCTTTGGCCCAGATAGTCCATCTAAATGAGTACAGCCCCTCGACAATGCAGCCACAATGGGCGTAATGCAAGTCCAAGTCTCAACGGTCCTTGCTTGGCGTCCCCAGAAACAGATATTGCCCGTGTGTAATCTGATCTGCATGTCCAAGGAAGGTATTACAGATCCAGGGAAGTGCGGAGATGAAGAGGGTCCATGGGGTTTCTGCAAAGAGCTGCCTTGAAACTTGACAGTGAAATTGGCCACTTCTCTGCTACCTCGTTTCCACGGAGGCTCACCAGCCTGAGGCTGCAATGCATTGGCTGCCCACAGCTCTACTTCCTACCAGCTTTCTTGGTGGCAAAGTCACCTGCACCTGCAGCTCTGGAGACCCACCTCTGCCTCCCAGGGCAGGCAGGAGATCGGTGAGAGGGGTCCAGGGACACACGCGAGAGGAGGAGCAATGCCACCACTGGGATGATATTTGGGTTTTGTTTTCCGAGCTGTGCTGCTGACAGATAACTAGGTGGAGGGGGGAGGAGGGGGAGGGGCTGCGTTGATGAACCTGATGAAACAGCCCTGGAGACAGCTAGAGCCCTAATGTCGTTGCTGTCTGCTGACAATTTCCTGGCTCTGTGTGACTTTGCTTCTGTCTGAACATGCTGTGCGCTACATGTCATCTTTCCCTCATTTCCTAAGGCTTGTTTCTTTTCTCTCTTGGCTTTGATCTGCTTCCCTCTGCATTCTCCTGAGCAGCGAACAAACAGACTCTAGTATTTCAGACTCTGATGTCTCTAGCCATGTATTGGGCAGCCAGACTGAGCAAGGGGCTAAAGAGACTTGGGGTGTACGACATAGCTGGCCTGCTGGGTCACCCTAGACCAATCACTTTCCTTTTCACCCTTGTGGGCCTTGTCTGTTTAGACGGTAAATTCTTCCACGCAGGGGCTGTCTCCATGGGGTGGGGGAAGGTCAAGTCCATGCTCCTGAAAGGGGCGGGGCCTCAGGTGGAAGGGGTGGGGCCAGGAGCCGCTAGCTCTCAGCATCGCCCAGACCGCAGTGTGCTCCTCTCAGCCCTCAGAACTGCCTGGAGCGTGTGGTGCAGCCACTCCTGCGGCAATTTAAAGGGTCCCGAGCTCTGGCAGCTGCCCCCTTCCCCCCCTCCCCTCCCTTTGGCCAGCTTGGCTGTCTCTTACCATGTGTATTTACAGCACCTACTACAGAATCTCTGGCAGCTGCCCCCTTCCTTCCCTCCCCTCCCCTCCCTTTGGCCAGCCTGGCTGTCTCTTACCATGTGTATTTACAGCACCTACTACAGAATCTGAGTGTAGGCTGACGTCTCTAGAAACAGCTCCAGTACCAATAAGACTCACTCTTATTTTACTTGCCTTTTCTTATCTCGCTGGAATTTGTGTTTTTCTTCATTGTTCTTAAAATATTTACTAAAAAAATTAAATCTGTGAACGAAGCCAGTTGAAATATTAGTAACACATGAAAATAAGTGGAGCTGAACTTTTGAGTCAAATTCTTCAGTACAAAAGTCAGAGCTAACCAGACAATTAATCTCTTCACCTTGGCGTTCCTTCAGGAAATCCCTCCTTCTCTCTCAGACACAAGTTGAAGAATATCAAGCCTTGGCCCTGCTGGGAAGGAAGGATTGGTTAGAGCAGGTTGAAAAATTGTCTGTTCCTTTTTGTGGGAAATTTCGAAAAAGTCGAGTTGCTTTTATCGAAATTTCTCCTGAACGTTTTTGGCCTTTTGAAAAAACCCGGTGTTCCTGACACCTCTTTGTTAAGGTTTCCCAGTGGAAGAGAGAGAGAAGGAGGGATGGA